ATAAACCTTCACATCAAAATAAAAAAAGGACCAGCACAAATATTTAGCAAATAGTAAAACAATAGCAACAAAGGAAGTGATAACACGATTCATAAACAAAACAAGCTCAGCATAGAAAATTATATGGAACAAAGAAATCAACACCATGAAAAAGCACATAACAAAAATGACACTAACAAATTTGTATTTGCTGATAACTACATAACTGGCAAGGGACTTAGCTCTAAGATTTATGGAAAACTCCAATACCTCAACACCAAAAGAATTAACAATCCAATAGAAAAACGGGCAGAAAACATGAATAGACACTTCACCAAGGAGGATATTCAGGTGGCCAGCTAATACATGAAAAGATGCTCACAATCATCGGCCATCAGAGAGATGCAAATCAAAACAACAGTGAGATACCATCTCACCCCAGCACTGATGGCAAGGTTCAACAAGATAGAAAATAACAAATGCTGGTGGGGATGTGGAGAGATTGGGACTCTCATACACTGCTGGTGGGACTGTGAAGTGATACAACCACTGCAGAAAGCAGTATGGCGATTCCTTAGAAAGCTGGAATTGGAGATACCATTTGACCTAGCAATCCCATTACTAGGTACATATCCTAGAGAAGTGAGAGCCAGGACAGGAACAGATACATGCACACTCATGTTCAATGCAGCACTATTTACAATAGCAAAAAGAGGGAAACAACATACATGCCCATCAGTGGAAGAGTGGATGACCAAACTATGGTACATACACACAATGGAATACTATGCAGCACTAAAGAATAATATAGACTCTGCAAAACACTGCATTATATGGATGAACTTGGAGGACATTATGCTGAGTGAAATAAATCAATCACAGAAGGAGAAATATAGTACTAGTTCATTGTTGTGGAGGGTCAAAGAAAGGTTTATATATGGAGGGAAACTTTCTTTGTTGGTTGCCAGGAATGGGAGGGGAGGGGAGGGAACACTGCAAAAAAAAATGCATTGACCCATGTCACTTTAGTTTTGTGTATTTCACTGTATATAAATTATATTTCAATAAAATGCACTAAAAAAAAGAAAAAGAAAAAAGATCAGTGGTTTGAACCCACCAGCCGCTCTGTGGAGGAACAAAGAGGAAGTCTGTTTTCATAAAGATTTACAGTCTTGGAAACCCAATGGTGGTCACTATGAGTTGGAATCAACTTGATGGCAGTCAGATGATTTTGGTTTTGGTTTTAGGAGCTCTGGTGGCACCGTGGTTAAAGCATTCAGCTGATAACCAAAAGGTCAGTGATTCGAACATGCTAGTGGCTCCATGGGTGAAAAATGAAGTAGTCTGCTTCCATAAAGAGATATAGCCTTGGAAACCCAATGGAGCAATTCTGCTCTGTTCCATAGGGTCAGTATGAGCTGGAATTGACTCGATTGCAGTGGGTTTAGTGCCAGAAAAGGCTCAAAGCCTTTTCAATGACTTAAAAGCTGTACACGTAGCAAGTGAAGATGATTGTGATGAAGAATTTGCTGTGAGCTGGGGCTGGTTCAACCATTTCAGAGTGGAAGCAAATTTACATAACATTGAAGTGCAAGTGGGCTGTTAAGTCTAATGTTTGTAACCCAGGGACTACCTGTACTTTCAAAGGGCCTTTGATATGTTAAAATATTCACATGGTCTTGTTTTGCTATATTTGTTCTACAGTTTGTGGTTTGCTTGCAGTTACACTTACGGTATTTACTAAGCCAAAGTCTTTTATTTTTTTTTAATTGTGATTTGGGTGAAAGTTTACAGAGCAAATTCACTTTCCATACAGCAGTTCACACACACTTTGTCTCGTGATATTGACTACAATTTACGCCAATGCAACAGCTCCCCTCCCACTTCCTCCTGATAGTTACCTTTTCCCTGTGTCCTCCCCCCATGCACTCCTGCCCCCTGAGCTATCTCCCTGTGCATAAACAGCCCTTCTTTCTCCCATGATTGTTCTCTCCAAGGAGTGTATCTACCTTGGGTAAATGTTCAACTCATATGCCTGTCTTTTGTTTGGCTGGAAGCCACAGGAGTGGGTTCAACTCCAGGCCTGAAGGGCAGCTGGGGGCATAGTCTCAGTGGTTCCACCAGGTTCTATCAGACCAGCAAACCTGGTCCTCCCTCCCTTTTTTTTTCCCCAAGTGATTTTGAGTTTTGTTCCACATTGTTCTCCCTGTCTATCCAGGATGTCTTACATAGATCCCCCTCCACGTGGTTGACATTGGTAGCCAGGCACCATTTAGTTCTTCGGGTCCCATAGTCATATAGGCTGAGGATCACATGGTGTACCAGTTGCTTGGACTAATTGTTTCCATGAATCTTTAGTTTGCTTCATTCTTCTTTGCTCTGGATGAGGAGAGACCTATCGTTGCATCTAGATGGCTGCTTGCAAGCTTTCAAGATCCTAGTAGCTACTCACCAAAGTAGGATGTGGAACAATATTTTGTGTAGTATGTTATGCCAATTGAGCTTGATGTCCCCTGTGACTATGGTCCCGAGCCCCCAAGTTCAACTACTCACTCCCTCGGGGTAGCTGACTGTGGCCAAGTAGTTACTACAACCTTGTCCCTTATCAGCTCTACTATACACCTGGGATTCTTAGAGAACACACAAATACACTTGTAGAACCATTGTCTGCCAACCCTCTACATGGTCTTGGGTACACTCCCCACTGCATAGACATACCTAATAGTTCAGCCTGTCCACCCATCTATCCATCCACCAGTATACCCATGTTTGCCTTCACTAACATAGGCCAAAGTCTTTAGTTGTTGGTTTAACAAAGTTATGTTCATCAAATATTTTTTCTTCATGGTTTTAGCTTTTGACCACAACCTCTTAAAGGCACAACAATGAACACTCACCACTATAGTTACCATGATGCAGATGTTTTTGGTATCCTTCCAGAAAACCATTTGAGGAGTGACTTTTGCAAAATGTACAAGTCTCCCAAAGAATGCGGTCAGGCAGAGGACTTCTGCTATGGAAGTAGCCTACACACAGAAAACAGAGAGTCAGATCAAGTGCCCTGCCACTTGGAAGCTCAGCTTTAATTCTCTTGTACCTCTCCTGCTGCGACCCTGCCTTTCCTGCTGCACCCTCTGAGAATTAGCAAGGTCATTTAATTTTAATAAAAGTTTCAGCAGAATTCTTTGGTGAGTGGAATGGTTTCTTCCTCTTAAAAGGAAACCTGCTCCTGGACCAGGAATTCCATGACCCTTACTGGCAGGGTTTCCTGGGAGGAGCTAAATAGACAGACAGATGACCCAGAATACATTTCCCCAGAAAAGGATGAGGGCAGGGATGACAGCTGTGGGCATCCTCCATGCTCTTAAATTCCCTGGGTTTACATTATGAATAAGTCATCTAGAAGTTCAGTTTGTCTAACAGTAGGATATGTCCCCAAAGATGTTTGAAACTGCGGCCCTGATGCCTGTATTTGGCCAGGTAGACGAGAGAATGAATGGAGGCCAGTGAGATTCAATGCAATCTTTCCCCTGTAGGTGACAGCACACCAACTCCAAAGTCCCCATAGTCAGGCTAGATGTGCAGCCCATGATTTGGCTGTAATCGCCATGGTTCTTCGTAACCCCACTAACAAGGGCATTTTCCTTCATCAACAGAGAGAGGAAGGTGTCACAGTAGGAAGAGCTAGGAGACAGGCAATTTGGCTTAAGCTAGAAAGAGGAAAGGGTATGGAGTGAGGACGGGAGGGAAGGGATTCTCTGAAGGACAGGTAGAGAGGGGCTGACTTCGGGCCCTGAAAGCAGCAGGTGACACAATCCTTCTCCCCACTACCTCAGCCCTCATGGGTCCTGGGTACCTACATGAGCTGCAGTCTTTTGCAAACATTTTAGCTCTCAGCCCTTTCACCCTTGAAGGTCTACAGAATCTCACTGTCAAGGTCAGACTTGCAAAAGAACCTGGGGCAATTCCAGAAACTCAACTCAAAATAAGACTTGTTTGGTAATACTAAAATTGAGGCCCAAAATTCCCCATTACACATTCAATTTTAGAGACTTATGTGCAAATGCTGTATGAAGGAACACTCTGAAGCCCAGGTAGCCAACCCAAAACTGGGTATAACCAATAGCAAGCAAAGAAGTAAAGGCTTGGACACAGTGGGAATCTCAGCGGAAACCATGCAGGAGAGAAGACAATGGGAGGGTCTATATAAAACCCTGAAAGGAAAAAATTTCCAACCAAGAATTATATACCCAGCAAAATATGATGATGAAATCGGGACATTTCTAGATAAGCAGAAATTAAGGGAATTTGTTAAAACCAAACCAACCTTAATAAAGGGAGGATCCAAAAGATCTACTGCCTCAGGACCATAAGACTGGGGGACACCAGACTCAACTGGCACAACAAAATACATAAAAGTGTTGCTCCACATCCTACATTGTTGAGTAGCAACTGGGGTCTTAAAAGCTTTCAAGCAGCCATCTAAGATGCAGCTAACGGTCTCCTAGCATTGGAAGTGAAGAAGAATGCAAAAAAAAAAAAAAAAACAAGGGCATTTAGAAGCAATCAGCCCTAGGACATGATCACAATGGCCCTCAAGACTAGAAGAACTAGATAGTGTCCGGCTAGATGGTGTCCGGCTACCAATGCCAACCACTCAGGAAAGGATCAAATCTGGAGATCCTGGATAGAGTGGGAGGGAAAACGTGGAACAAAATCCAAAAACTCAATAATTACCAGAATTACTGGTCAGATGAAATCTGGTGAGACTCCCAATACTATGGCCCTGGAATACATTCTGTGCCTGGAATAAAACTCACCCCCAGGGGTGGGCTCTTAGCCCAATAGGTAACAAGACATACACGCAGACCACTCAACCCAGGATGACGCACCCACATACTCTATGGTAATATATCTCTTAGAGCAATAGACCATGGGACACCAGAGGACCAACATTCAAACTGAGGAAATGCATGACAAACAGGAGTGCATAAATATGAGGGGCACAGGGGGAGGGTTACAGGGTAGGGAGGGGAGGAGACTGGGTTAGGGGTGGACATGGTGAATGAGGAATGAAACAAAATGTACACGTTAACGATGAATGTAAAACAAGCTCTTAAAATTAAAAAAAAGGTTTCAGGAAAAAAATGAATGAAGAGAGTCCTTTGGACAGAGAACCAACAACAGCAAAGAACAACTGACCAGAAAGAGTGCCAAGGGCAGAGCAGATAACTCCAGGGAATTCTCACCTTAGCTGGGGTGGGCCAGTGCACCATCTCTACAGAGACCGTCCAAGTCTATAAATGCACAGCTCTGCTTCTTCAGAATTTGTGTTTGTTTTGATAGTTACTGGGCTAGAAGTTTTCTACCTAGATAATTCAATAATTATTAAGTCTTTATCATATGGAAGTGTGGGAGACCATTACAGTGAACCAAACTTCTAGTCTTCACACCCTTGTGTGATGTCCATCCATGTTGACTTGGGGCCCTGGTACGCGGTTGGGACCAATAGGACATAAGCCAATGTGAGGCTAGCAGAGGTTTGATAGAGCTTGCATACCAGGAAGCTCCTTCTTGGACACAGCCACCCACTAGGAGAAATCTAAGCCATGGAATGGCTATGTGGAAGAAAGCAGGCTCTAGCCAACTTGCTCCCAGACAATACCCACAGCAACTGCCAGCCACATGAGAGAGACTTGTATGTTCTGTTGTTGTTATTGTTATTGCCATCGCGTGGGCCCTGACTCACAGCGACCCCTCCTTGGGTTTCCGAGGCAGTATCACTACAGAAGTAGGATTGCCCAACCTTCCTTCCAAGGAGTGGCTGGTGTATGTTCTAGTCTCCAGATACCTACAGAGCTTCTACACGTCTACCACCCCAGCCAATGCTATATTAACAGAAAACATACCCAATTGAGTCCACTCAACCCTCAGAATCATGGGAGAGAATTAAAGGCTGTTATTCTTTAAAGCTAGCATTTGACAAACTTTTTCTGTAAAAGGCCAGATAGTAAATATTTTAGGGCTTTGTAATCATAGAGTATGTGTCACAACCACTCAACTCTGTTCTTGTAGCTCAAAAGCAGCTAGAAACAATATCAATGAATGATTATGGCTGTGTTCCAACAAAACTTTTATTTGCCAGACAAAAATTTGAATTTCACGTAATTCTCACATGTAACAAAATATGACTCTTTTTTCTATTTTTTCCAATCATTTAAATATATATATACAAATACACACACACACATATATATATTCTTAGCTCACAGGCTGTACAAAAAGAAGCCCACCCACTACCTTCAAGTCCATTCCAACTCACAGCAACCCTGTAGGGTTTCCAAGGCTGTAAATCTTTATTGAAGCAAATTGCCTTGTCTTTGTCTCTCAGAGTGGCTGGTGGGCCTGAACCACTGATCTTTTGGTTAGCAACTGCAAAAAGCCTTGGCCACTGCACCAACAGAGCAGTGGGCTGAATTTAGCTCAAGGTTTGTAGTTTTCTGACCTCTGCTTTAAGCATTTGCATTTTGAGGTGGTTTGTTAAGCAGCAACAGATAACTGAAATATGCAAAAATAAAGAGTATATATGGTAGTTAGAAAGCAAGAGTTTTGAAACTGGATGGACTTGGGCTTGGCCTAGCTCTGTCCCTGTTGCTTAGTGGCCTTAAGGAAACAAAACAAAACACTGCCATCAAGTCGATTCTGACTCATAGCCACCCTTTAAGATAGAGCAGAACTGTCCCATAGGGTTTTGAAGGCTGTAAATGTTTACAGAAGCAAACTGGCTCAACATTCTCCTACAGAGTGACTGGAGGGTTCAAACCATCAACTTTTTTGGTTAGCAGCTGAATGCTTTAACCACCATGCTACCAGAGCTCCTTAAGTGGCCTTAGACAAGTTATACAACATTTCTAAGGCTCAGCTTCCTAATCTGTTAAAATAGGGATGACAATAACTGCACATCTAATGGGGTCACTATGAGGCCTAAGAAGAACACATGTAATACACTTAGCCTGGCAGATATTAAGCACTCAGCAACCAGTAACCATTAAGACAAGAGGTAAGAGCAGTGATATATCAAGATCAACATGAGCAGGACATCCATTTATTATTTGGATCCATCTGTTAGCTGGTTAATCTGATGATTGTAGTACACAAAATCACTTTTGATCAGCTACTAAACACCAATAAATATTCTAATGATTTATGACTATGAAAAAAAAAGCTGGAAACTTGGCAGACACAAACAAGTCACATATTGCACTATTATTATAACACTATCTATTTGGCATAAACTAAGTTTGCTTTTTAAAATATACTCTATCAAAATTTTGATTGTGTACACAGAGCAACAACTTCCATTCAACTTAAGATGCCTTATGCTTGAAGCATTGGCTTAGCAAGTAAGCCAAATTCTTCTAACCTCCAGCAATAAAAATAAAATCAAATTCATATTTGCTGAAATTTGAGAAAAAAACAAGCAGCAGCTTGGGACCCAATTTATCTGTAAAGAGTCTGGTTGGCTATTTTATTGTTAATGCTTACCAAGAAAGGTAGTGGAAACAACGCAGGTTTCTCAAATAAGGCCAGAGAAAGGTCTACAAAAATAAAGAAGTTTGTGGCTGCTCGCATTGTCCAGTGGTTATAAAAATAGTAAAGTCTGAAGAGGAAAAAAATAAAGAGGTTATAAACAAGGAGGAAGAGTTAAACAGCACAAAAACTTCTCGTTAAAAGACTAATGGTAGGTAAAGTAAAGAATTTATGGCTTTGGTCACATTTCCTTTAAATTCCAGAGAGCAGGGAGCACATACTCCAAAACACTTTTCTAATGGAAAAAAAAAAAAAAAAAATCAAGAATATTATATCTCAAAGCACATTACCTTGACAGTCTCAAGCTAAGATTAGTACCTTCCTGACAGGGTTGTTGTAACAGTAATAAGAGAATACTTTGAAAGGACTTTGAACAGTGACTTGCAGTGTAGTGGTTAACCCACTACCACAAGTCAATTCAGACTCATATCAACCCTGTAGGACAGAGTAAAATCATTCCAGAGGTTTCTGAGGCTGTAAATCTTTACAGAAGCAGGGAGCTTCATCTTTCTTCCATGAAGCAACTAGTGGGTTTGAACTGCTGACCTTTTGGTTAGTAGCCAAATACTTTAACTACTATACCACCAGAGCTCCTTACCATTAGTTAAAGTGACCTACTATAAGTGGAAGGAGCTCTGGTGGCACAGTGGTTAAAGCATTCAACTGCTAAACAAAAGATTGGTGGTTCAAACCCACCAGACGCTCCATGGGAGCAAGATGAGGCAGTACTCAGCTTCCGTAAAGATTTACAACATTAGAAACCCTCTGGGGGCAGGTCTGTTTTATCCTACAGGATTGCTATGGGTCAGAATCAACTCAATGGTAGTTGGTTTTTGGGTATTATATGTGGCAGTATAGCCTAATCTGATTTTAAAATGTCTATCAACGCATCTTGAACATTGACTCAGAAGAGATCTTGCAGTCATGCAGTGTTCTTTCTGGAGTGGGAGCAGTCCCCCAAACTTGCTTGAGAGCTTCCAGGGATGAGGTATTCACTCTCATGCATTGATGCTCAGCCCTACAGTAATAACCAGTTGCCATTGAGTCAACTCCAATTCATAACAATGCAAGTGGGTCAGAACATAACTGTGTTCCACAGGGTTTTCAGTGGCTTGATTATTCTTTCTTTTTCAAACTTTTTATTGTAATTTGGGTAAAAGCTTACTGAGCAAATCCATTTTCTATTCAACAATTCACACACATTTTGTTTCACGCCATTGATTGCAAACTTCACAGTGTTAACACTCCTCCCACATCCTCTCTGTGCTTCCGGTTTCCATTCCTCCTTCTCTCCTAACCTTTTCTGGCTTCTGAACTCTCGTTGGACAAATGCTGCCCTTTTGCTCTTGAATGGATGATTCTTCTAAGGAGGGTCTACCTTCCTAGAGTTATTGTTCACCTTGTAGACCTATTGTTTGACCGAATATTCAGTTATGGGAGTGACTTCAGTTTCAGGTCTGAAGGGTGACTAAGGGCCACAGTCTTAGGGGTTCCACCAGTCTCTACCCAAACAGTAAGCCTGATATTTTTATATATTTATTTATTTACTTACTTACTTACTTACTTATTGTGATTTGGGTGAAGATTTACAGAGCAAATTCACTTTCCATACAGCAGTTCACATATACTTTGTCTCATGTCATTGACCACAGTTTA